GGGGCATAAAGCCCCAGACAGCATAGCTCCTAGGATCATTGGGACACTCAAACCCCTCCACCACGATAAGGTAGCAGCCCAAGGAGAGCAATTGTATAATTGCTGCTAAATGAGAGAAAGATCGAATTTCACACTGCGTCCTTCTGCTGCGTGATTTTGTTGTTCTGAAGCGAGTGTTATGTCTCCCCAGTGATGCAGTGTCCCCGGGCTTTAAATGAAATTATATGATTTTTTTTTCTCTTAATGTGTGAAAAATGAAGCACAAAAAAGCAATCATTTAGAAGCAAGATCCACCACCCCCGCCTCTTTAAGTTCTGATATTAGGCTACTTGGAAACTTTTCTCCATGTTGCCAAGGCTATTAGTATATTTCCCCTCCCTTGTTCTGGTCAATACATAAAAAAGCAGTTGTTGCTAATGTGTGTTTGAAATGAGACAAGCTGAAGAGAAGCAGGAAAAAAAACAAGTTCCTTAAATTAAAGTCCTCATGCCAAGCCTTGAGGGTCTGGCACATTTTTCAGACGTTTATAACTAAAAATGGTGCTTCAGAGTGGAGCTGCAGAGCTAAAGCCCCAGTTTCCCTAAAGCTATTGTACATGGGAACTCTGAGAGGGTCTGGAAAGCTGAGATACAGAGGAGCAATGTTCCACAGTGCAGGGCTGAAAAGCATGATGTGGCAAACCTCACAGACAACTTATGAAACATTCATCCAAACTGCTTAAATATTAATTAATGACCACATTTGTTAGTGCCACTTAAAGAAGCCGGGTCAGGCACCGGGGGACCACCGGCCCTAACCCACTGAACTGAATTTACTGGATTGTGTTTGTTGGCACAGATGTGGGGGGAAAAGAGGCTGCCTGAGTGTGAAGAGACATCTTATCGCTGAACGGGAGGAAAAGCCCTTCCAGCTTAGAAATAGACACTCGAGATAGAGCTCACTGGCTGACCTGTGAGCAAAACCAATCAGAGCCACAGATGGGGAACAAGATATGTACCATCGCAGTGATGCACTGTTGTTTTGATAAGCGTCTGTCTGTTTCTGCCCCCTCCGGTTTGACGGGGGGGGGGCCGCTGCAATGTCGGCATGAGGGTTATGAAAATGCCTGGAGGGCGTCGCGACACAGTTCAATTCTGCGTGCTGCAATCTCAGAGCTTTCAGGCTTACTAAATCAATTACACAGGGTTGTGGAGCCTGTGCCTCACTCCCACATAATACCCATAATACCCATTGTTTCTGTGTGCCTCTACTGGAAAGACCGAATACAGACTTCCTGATAAGCTGATGGGAGTAGCTGCATGCGTGGCTGTGCACTTCGTGGGTTCAGCTTCTCAGCTGTATGTCAAATCAGAGTATGGAGGGGGGGGGCAGACTGTAGCATTCTGCACAAGTCAAGGAGAAGAGTAGAAACAAGTTCAAGTCTTTGTCTTTAGCAGACACAGTTTCAGATCCAGTGAAGATAGGAATTACTGTTTTTGCTTCTCTATCAAACTGACTGTGCCCAGGAGCTTTYTTTTTTGTATAAAAATTGATGACTGACACCGCAGAGCCTCGGGGCATCAACACAGACCCTGGCTGAAGGTCTGAGGGGAAAAGAAGAACTGTGTGTTAAAAAATAAACAATGCAACTGCAGGTGTTTTTCTAAAGAAATAGGCATGAACTAACAYATGCAGACACAGCCTGAGCTTCATGTGTCTCTTTTATGCTCAGGAGTCTCACACACTACATTTGTCAAAAACTGACTATATTTTACAACAAAACATGGGCTAGAATGAAGGTTTACATTTTCTGTTGCACATCATTCTGAAATAAAATTATCTCTAAACTCAACCTCAAATCCACCAAAGATGCTCCACTGTGTTGGGGCTGACCTTTGGTCCCTATGAGTCCTGACAGGACACACACTAAAAACTGCTGGGTTAAAATTAACCCAATTTGTGGTCAAATTTGGTCAAGGCAAACTYCAGGTAGTTTTAGGTCATCAGGGTTGAGTTATCAGTTTGATCCCATAGTTTTCTACCCAAAACTTGGGTGAAAAATGACTACAAAGTTGAGTTAAGAAGAATAACCAGAAATCTGTCTTAGATATTTACAATTTTGGTTGGTGCTAGTTAGTTGGTGCTTATTAGACACCATTAGCATTTGCTAACAGACACCAAATAATGTTATTTTATCCCAAACTCACTGCCCAATGCAAGCTAAAGATATTAACAAAGTCAAACAGGTTAAATATTACATATGTGTCACTTTTACCACATTATCTTTGCTTATTACATCTTAAASCAGAGGTCTAGTCAGGTCTGATTTAATCTATTTCTGGTTCAAAATGGTGCCCTGTAAAGAACGACACAGCTCATCTTCAGCCCAACCACCATGGCAAAGTTTAAGAACAWATATTATGTAAAATCAGCCCAGCCTATATGATCTTATAATTCAGCATTTGAATTATCAGAACAACCCATATACAACAATCTTATCCAGTATATATTCCATCATAATCACATACACATACACACACACCACATATCAGTGGATATTCAGTTGAAAATGCAAAATAAATTTTGATATTCCTTTTGGTTTATGCATCTATCCTGAGTAGCTTTTCTTGTCCGATGACTGTAACACTGTAGAAAAAAAAGAGAGACAGGGAGTGTAATAGGGCTAAATGAGGCACAACACTGAAAGCAATGAAGAGACAAATCAACACTCTTCTGTGGTAAAATTGCTCATCCTGTAGCACAAACTCCTTATCAGCTTCGTGTTGGAGCCTGAGAGCATCTTCACCTGCAGCACACGCTGCCCCACCCTGTCCAAGTGTCACTCTTCTAACGTCTCTTCAAATAAATCTCTGCATGAAAATTATCAAAATGAAATGTTTCCCTCTTTTTCACATCACTGGGACAAAAAAGAAAAAAAAACAGGTGTCGTTTTTGATCAGCACAGAAAGCATTAATATTGCCTCTGGCTGACTCAGGGGGAAGCCTCCCTGCTTTGCCAATAAATGCGAGGATAGTTGCATTTTACGCGCTTGGCACGCGCGCAAGCTGCAGTCCACAGCAACCTGATGACGGAAATATACACCAAAAAACCAGAATGAACAAAACAGCGCAAAAGTTTAGCTGAACAGACTGGGCTATGTCATCTTTTTTTATTCAAAATTCTGACAAAAACTGTGATTTACGCTTAATTTAAACATTTTATCTGTGGAGCTCTGTGCGCGCGCACCTACATATCGCGATTTTTTCCTGTTTTTATCAAATTAAAGTGTGTATCCCTTCAACATAACGCTTGGTCTGTGCGCACCTCACTAAAATGTCACCAAAATCGCGCGGCTGTCGCCAAACGCTCTCACGCGCGCRCAGCACCGCGTGAATTCACCTGCAGGACACGGTGATCTCCACTTTGGTGGCGGGGATGCTCCCACTCATGGGGTCGAAGTCACAGACCGTGGCCGTGGCCTCCACCTTGTCCATAACGTCCCCCTCCATGCGCGCGGCAGAGCCCGGCCAGCTCCCCCTCCTGAACCCGGAGAGCCGAGGGTGGCGACCCGGAGCGCAGCGGGCAGAGGCGGACGCGGTCCAGTCAAACCTCCTGTAGACGAGCTCCGCTGGACGGCCAGCAGCATGGAAAGTTGGATGCTGGAGGTGGCTGCGGCTGCGGGGTCTGAGGTGGGCTCACACGCCAGGACGCATCATCATCTGAGCTGCTCTCCAGGCAAAGACTGAGCTTCTTCTGTCTGAGCCGCTTGGAAAAGTAAACGCAACAAACTCCACCCCTCCTGTCCGCATTCTCCAACTGTACACACGCGGGGTTGGGACTGAGCCTCGATGTGGATCGTTTCCACCCAAAGAACAACAAATGAATCAAGAACCCCCAAAACTGATGGTTTTGGATTTTAACTTAAGTGAAACAAGAGTTCCGCTTTTTTTCTCTACTTCTCATTTTCTTAAAACCAACTGGAGAGTTTCCCCTGAAATAAACGTCTCCATATTGTTCAAAATGAATCACACAAAATTTTGCATTCCATTAAAACTGCACAAGTCCCTCCAGACAGCAGCTTTGAAAATGAACCGGCTTTTTCAGCACCTGGACAGCTCCTCAAACTCCCGCGGCTTCACGCGCAGCCTCATTTCAGCTCACCTTGCCAACAGAATAAAAATAAATGAAGTGTGCTCCACTCTTGAAGTCGGTGTGGGTGCCTGTGCGCTCTCCCCGGGGGTCTCGGTTCCTGTTGTTTTCTTTATTAAACAAGAAACAAGAAGGATTGCAACCTGTCAGGAGTCATTCCGAGGTAAACGCGTGTCCCTGGATGTGCAGAAAACATGGGGGAGGGTGGGCTCTCATCAAGGGAAGCGAGGATTCACTCAAATCCTGTATACAGGGGTCAGTCACTCCCTGTACCTTCTGCAACCATTCACACAATCATCAGCAACATATGCTTCACCTGCTTCCTATAGAAACTGCAAATTCTATCTTTAAAGCAAACAAAAACAAAGCTGCCTCAATAAAATCCACTCCTCAAAAGCATCACATGAAAAACGCCCACAAAGGTCACACATGTCTCAGTATCTCTGGTCCTTGCTGCAGGCTATCCATCACTCTCTGTGAGCATTATTGTGAATCTGACTCAGATTCAGACTGACCAAAGCCTGCTTGCAGTGTTCGGACCCAACGAAGCACTGATTTATTATTATTCATGTTCAAGCTGTAATTAGGCCTGCTGCTGCTGCTGGTGGTGGCCCTCGGCTGGCTGATTCTGAGCTCTCTTCAGTGTTTGTTTCCTCACAACCTGCAGAACAGCTTTCCTCCAGGCCCACCCGCAGCCTCCCTGCTCCCCTCAGCTGTGGAAAAAGTGTAATTACAACCATATAACCCTTTGGATAGAGTGTGTGTGCACGTGTGTGTGTGTGTGTGTGTGTGTGTGTGTGTGTCACTGAAGAAGACCACATGTAGGGGGTCAAACTCCAGCAGAACTGATTGAGTCTGAAACAAGAAAAGAAAAGGTGGTGAAAGGCTCTACAAACTAGCAGGCCATTGCCTTTATACATTGAAAAGAACAATAAATTAATTCTGTACTACATATATTTCATAAAAACATTAATTTTCTCTATTTTGAGAAACATTGTGTAGCATTATAAACAAAAAATAGCACTTTCTCACATTAAACATATTGTACAACATCTGATTCAGCAAAATAAGCCATTTTATGTTCAGTATTTAATGTTTATTACTGTTACAAGATAGAACGTTAAACTACTTATTTACGGGACAATACACTGGTCATCCAGTTGGGGGCAGTGTTTAGCACAGCTTTCACAATTTTGGTAAATTAGGGAGTAGATAAAATTTTGGGCTAAGAGATGTTTCCAACTGTGTTTGAAGTTTAATAATTCTGTATGACAATGCAAACTATTATTGTTTGTTTAAATTTGAAATAAATAACTGACCTGAGGAGCAACGATCTCAAAAGAATAAAACAGAGTGGGTCCCAAGTGTTGGGTTACAACTTAAAAACAAACTTCTTTCATTTATGTGTTTTAGCAGCAGACTATTTATTTCTGTTTTAAGCTGCTCTTGCAGGAATTTTAAATTTAATAATAAAAATAATTGGTATAATGAATTGATTTAATGACAGGGATTATTAAAATTGAACTTCATTTTGGGGAAACAAAACCCCACATACTGACACAATTTCTACTTTTACACAGCAATAATTTTCTTTTGTTTATTAATCATAAAATGTTTATTCATTCTAAAACCACAAGTGATTGTTACGTTTTTTCGACATGATGACAAGTAATTCTAGCAGTTTTATATAGTTTGTTTCTATTTTAATCATAATTTTGTTGGTTTGTTTGTTTCATCAGGTTTGTGTTTTTAACATTTCAGTAAACCTGCTTACGAATTCCACACATGGAGAGAAGCATTAAGATTCATCCAGAGTTATTTCCTTCGGGCCACTTGACAAATGAAAGTCCCGTGTTCTTTCTTTTGCCCTTTAGTTCTCCGGCATCAAAAACACGGTAAATAATAAGTATTTTATTCAGGGCAAATTATCTGAGGAGCGCTGACACTCAACGTTGTTGTGAATAAACCAAAACAGCAGGAATAAAGAGCTTTCTACAGTCAATGCTTTTTTTATTTTAATCTTCTGTTACTCAACAACAAATCTGAATACTTGCTTTACCACTAAAAGTTATGACATAACATGGAAACACTTTGTGAGCTGCAGAGAGATAAAATATGTGCATCTGTGCTACGGGCATTTCCAGTTTTATATGAAAGGGATAGAGAAAAAAAGCACTCAAGGAAGTCTGCTGTCTATTTTTTGTGCAGCCTGGAAGCATTTCATGCATTTACTTTGAAGTGAACATCTGTGAAGTAACAACCTCTAAATGCACTGTGTGGGAAAAAAAACACTTTCTTTAAAAAATTGCAGGTAAAAGTGGGACTTTTGCTTGTTTTGTGTTTGGTTTTTTTAACATTTCGTGGGAAAACAAACACATTTTGAGAATTAATTTAGTGACAAAGGTTGTTGTGTTCCAACATCTGCTACTGTTTGATTTCATTTCAATTCTTTCACACAAAGAGTTTAACCATGAAGTCACAACGTTGTAGAAAGCTGGCATGAAATAACAGCAGATTACAGGATAAGTATCACAGCTTCTATTTTACCATCTGTTTCTAACTGTTGGTTAAAATTATGTTTTTATTTAATTCACTGCAATTGCATTTCTTACTGTCTAGCTGCCAGGATCTGTGTTTTATGTTTGTTTTGCTAACAGTATTTTGTGTTTTTGTGAWTGAGTATTGCTTTTTCTTCTCATTGCTTGTGTTTTATTCAGAGAAACAAAAACAAAAAAAGAGCGGTCACAAACTTCACTGCTGAAGATAAAACTGAACAAAGTGGTTCAGATATCAAACATGAAAGGAGAAAATCAYTGCTTGCCAAAAAGAACATCTCTCTGAGTTTCACATCATCTGTATTTAATTACAAAAAAACTGCAAAGTTTTTTGTGTCCAGATGAGAACGGAGCAGAATATAGAAGCGATATGTTTGAAAAAAGAAGGCACTGCAGCCGTCTGTGAAACTTATTGGTTAGAACGAGTTAAACCTGCTTCTCAACAACTGGGCCAGATGGCTTTTTTTTTTTATTTATGGAAATAATTCACTCCAAGCCAAAACAGTGACTTAGATAAAGATRCTATATGTCAATGATAAATCTGAAGAAAAAGTTCTGATAAGCCTCTTGGATGTGTCAGAAGTGACATTTTCTCACCTGTCCCTCATAAAATATTAACTTTAGATGTTTAACAGGGTTTGTTTTAATAATCACACTGTCCCAAAACCTGAATCTTCATTTTGACTCTTCTACAACTACATAAAAAATAGTCATCAAAAAGGGGGTGTTATTTTAAAAAAGGACATAAAACAATAATTAACAAAGTCAACGTTTGACAAAATGTGATTCAAATTATTCTAAATAATTTTGTATGAGATGAATTGCATTCTTGCACAGTGTTGTTTGATTTTGAGTTGGGGGGGGGGGGGTAAAACCTTTTTTATACATTCAGCACATGATTCATCACCATTCTGTGCAGGGAACGCATTTGCTGTCCAATCATTTGTCAGCTTTATTGATTTTGGAAGCATTAAATTCCTCTAGAGCCATACAACGCTGGTGTGTGTGTGCACGAGTGTGTGTNGTGTGTGTGTGTGTGTGTGTGTGTGTGTGTGTGTGTGTGTGTGTGTGTGTGTGTGTGGACATGGAGTCATACAGAAGAGAACAAATGAAAACTGGACTCGACTGAGAAATGGTCCATCGCTGCTCCCCTGCTTCATTGTCCAATTGAGGCGCAGCGATGTGAGGGGGTGTCACTGRGCCTGCAGGGAGGAGGAATGTCACATTCTGCCTCATTCATCTTCCATGTGTCGGAGGAAAGCCTAGCTGTGACCACTGCAGATCAGTGCAGGGCTCCTTCACCTGTGTGTGTGTGCGCGTGGATGCACGTGTGTGTGTGTTTGCATCGGTGCAGCAAAAACTCATCTGCTCCATTGATTGAACACCAATAAATGGGATGTCGGCAGTCATTTTCCCTAACATCACTACAGCACTGAGTTTTGTTTTGGTTTTTGCAGTAGCAGTGACAGGAAACAGCCTTGTTTTACTTCCCTGTCAGAGAGTTCATTCTATTGAGACTGAAATTCACAATCTCATAAAACAGCACAGCAGAGGAATTTCAGTCTGCGACCTGCTCTGTAAGATCGAACAGAAGTCAAACAAAATCCTTTTTGTGGTGCGAATTTCAGACATTCTCCTGCCAGAATGAGCTGGGAATTTTACTTACATAAGATGACAGGTTTAGTCTGGTGGATAATTTTTTTTTTTTTTTTTTTGGTTTGTCTTTTGCTTTGACAGGATGAACCTGGGGTAATTTATTCAAATCATTTCCCCTCCAAAAAGAAAAAAAAACTAATGGTAACAAATCACAAGATTTATTGAGAGCTGTCATGCATGCAGGAATCATATAATGTTTCAATATTCCCAAATGTTATTGCGAGTGATAGAAAGACATGYTTGGACATTTTAATAAAAGAAAATAATGGAGGGGGGCTTTTCTCATATCCTCTGACAGATGTGTCGGTTAGGCATCTATGACAGGGGGGAGGAGGGGGGGGGCTCCGATGTGCGGCAACAAGGATATTTTTTAAGCAAACTTTAGGTTTCAATTCAAGAAGTGCTCCTGCTGATAACTACGTTTTGTTTTTACGTGCGTTTTGTTAATTTATTTACATATTTCCAGCTTTTAATTTATTCATGCATTCTCTCATTTGTTTCTCTCTCCGTTTCCCTCATTTATAAATTTGTTCTTTGTTGTAGTGTGTGTGTGTGTGTGGATCATTCCGCAGTAATGATCCTGGAGACAGAAAG